GCAGGAGCAGAATACACCCTTTAATGGGCACATTACATGTCCTGAGGACACGTTAGCTTGAGGCATGGGATAAAAGGAGAGGAAAATTGTGTTAAAGAAATGTGAAATGGCTTACTTCTCAAAAGTGTCCCCAGGACCCATAGACTTCCCTGGAGCTTCTTGGAACCAATCAGGGCAGAGGAGCATACTGTACTAACCCTGCTACAGGCATTTAGGAGTTACTGCTAACAGACTCTGCCCTTAACTACTACAGACTCTGCCCTTAACTACGACCTCGACATTTTGCAACATCCTAAGAAGGAGGCTTCTTTTGGGCCTTCCTCACTCTCCCTACAGTGATGCTTTACATGCAACTATTTCCTAGTTAGGACTAACTCTAAGGTACAAATCTTCAGCCCAGAACACAGCCTGAGTAGTTAGGCTGCGGGAGTAAGGGAAAAAGAAAATACATCAGAGGAAATGAATGAATTCACTCTATGTCAAGCCACTGAGCCGCAAGAGTCAAGCAGATCTTGTAATGCATGATGGGGGTGGATGTTGAGCAGGGAAGTGAACAATGAGATCCTCAAAGCAGTGGATCCTCCAGTCTCACCTCCGGTGCACTGGTCAGTAAGGACGTGCTATAGAGGTGAGCTCTTGCCACTGCAGAACTGGCCACTCTCCCTAAAACCTGATGCTGCTTTGTACAGTGGAAGCATTCTGGAGCTATTTGCAAGGGAGTCTCTGGCCTCTGTCAGAGGCCAGAGACCCTGGCAAGGGACAAGGGCTACAGAGGGCCATGACCTTTTCTGGCCCTTGTCAAGGGCCATGACTCCCTTGACAGAGGCCAGAGACTCTGGCAAGGGAATCTCTGGCCTCTAGCCTTGCCATGTGGCTACATGACCAGCCATTATTGTAAAGGAGGCCACTGGTGATTTAAAAGGGCACATGTCATTAAATGTGGTGGGAAAAGTGTTATGATGCAGGATATCAGATTAGAGGAGCATAATAGTCTGGCCTTTGAATTTCTAAGGAAATAAGACTGCCTGCATCATATATAAGTGCTACATGGACTGGACAGAATGGTCAAATGAAGTACATTAGTAAAGCTCCATTGAAACCAGTGCAGCTATGTTGTTATAGGTGGGGATCTGTCTCCTTGAGCTCAACCCAACTGCAGAATAAACAATATTTCTGAACTGCATGAATTTGCTCAGCGTTAGCAGAGGCATGAACATTCACTTGTCTTGGCTGCTCATAGATGCTTCTGAGACCGATTTACATTCTGCACAATACCAGCCGCCTCTTGGTAGTAGACTGAAAGCTGGAAGACAGAGCTAGAGGGCCACCAGTTCCTCTTTCCCCCCCCTGCACTTGAGTATTACATGAAGTCTAGTTGGCTACTCACCCGCATGCCCAGTTCAATATTTTCTCCCCCGTAGACTTCCATTCCAGGGTCAAGCAGACCAATCTCACCAAAGTACTCCCGGTTCACCACAAACGAACACCCAATCATTGCTGGGGTCCTGTGCAGAACAAGAGGAATGGGGGGAAAAAAGTGCTTAATATGTAATGGAGCTCACACATACTGCAAAGCTGTGTTTTCAGATGAAAATCACTGTCCAGAGAGCCAGCACAAAAATCCCAATGCACACCCTTTGAGGGATTAAGGGCACAGTCCAGAAATGTGTACGCTTAATTTTAAGCCTAGGTAGTACCTGTTCATGCCAAATGGTTTTTGATGGCCCAAAGTAATAAGAGGTCAATAAGCCTTTTGCAAGCCCTTTGTGCAGGGATGAATTTCAGCTGTGGCAAACTTGTTCCCTGATGAAAAGCAAATTACTTCAGTAGTGTGAATTTTTAGAAAAGGAAAAAAAGTCACCAGGAAACGAGAAAACACTCCTAATTCTGTGTCTTCAAGGGATCAAAAGCTTACAAGTGACCCCAGGGCTAGATCTGAAACTGGTAGGGAAAAGCAACTTAAGTCTCCTTTTAAAAGATGTGCAAAACATATCAAAGCTCTTGGAAGTTTCTGTAAAAGCCACCTGCTACTTACAGCCCACTAGAACTCCTCTTTTCTTCTCCTTCATGAAAGATTCATGTCTACCCTGAAACTTGCTGCATTACACAGTGATGTTGGGGTTTTTTTCCCCTCCCCTCAAAAATATATGGCCCAGTTGCATCAAAATATATGGAGTTACAATCAACTTCAGATTTCAGAGCATTTCACTGAGGGGACGCAGGGTGATCTCATGGATGAAGAAGAGGTTCAGGTCTCAGCAAACCATGCTTCCATTCTAATTCTCTGCCACTGACATAGTGGGAGATCTTATACAAATCAATTTTTACCTGTAAAGTAGGGATAATATGACAGATGCCGACAGGTGCTTTGCTTTTTTGTACAATGCTTTGGGATCTGCTGATGAACAGTTCCATGTAACAGTTGGTGTTATATTATTATTATTATTATTATTATACAATTATATTATAAATACAACATCATGAATACCTTTACAGTGGGAATAAGACAACTGCATTAGAAAAAGTAGGGAAGGTCAACCAAGATCATCAGGAGTATGGAGCAGCTGCCATAACAGGAGAGATTAAAAGGACTAGGACTTTTCAGTTTGGAAAGAAGGTGGCTGAGGTGGGATACGATAAAGGTCTATAAAATTATGAAACTGCCTTGGACAAAATTAATAGCGAACTGTTATTCACCAAGTCCCCAAATACACCAACTAGGGGTCACCCACTCAAATTAGTAAGAAACTGGTTTAAAACTAACAAGAGAAAGCACTTTTTTATGCAGCACGTAGTCAGCTTGTGGCACTTATTACCCCAGGAGGTTGTAGAGGCAGCTTAAAAAAAGGACCAGTCATAATCATGGAGGATATATCCTTTACTAGTTGTTAAACAGGACAGTCAGGGATGTAACCTCTAGCATCTCCAAACCAATGATGATAGATGCCAGGGAGGGTATGACAGGGGATAGATCACTAGATACATAGAGGTCAGATAGATCACTCTTGCTATATCCTGTTCGCAAGCTCTCCCACTAAAGCATCCACCCCTGTTGCCCATGCAGACAGGATCCTGGGCTAGATGGATCGTTTGTTTGACCCAGTATGGCACTCCTAATGTTCTTACGCATATTTACCATCATCTGCTACAAACTTTGCTAGCATCATTTTACAATAGTACACTTGTTCCTTAAAAAAAGAAGGCAGAAATTAATCAGAGCATAAGGGAGCATCTGTGCTACTGGTGCTTTTAGAAAAGAAGGCTCCACATTGTGTGGCCACGTGATCACAAGCAAGTCATCCCCTTGCCCAACTGTGCATCTACAAATGGGACCACAATCGAGTTGCACTGACTGTTTGAGGGGGCCAACAGGTCTGCAAATGTCTATCTTAGCCTTAAACACACACATTGATGACTAGCAATTGGATGGCATAAAAATATAAAAGTTTGCGTGGTGATTCAATTTACTCCTTCATTAGACCTTGGCTGCAAAACTCATACTAATAAAATTGTAATACTGCTTTTGATTTTTAATACTGGCTTTTTATTAGTGATATGACATTTCCCCAATGTGCAGCAAGCATCTCTCTTGCTAGGGCTTCTTTCTTTTTCTTTTTTTAAATAATAGAAATTGCACGGAGGTCGGATGGAGTGGAATCCTGAGTCCCCTGCCAAGAGGCTTGTAATGATTTTATTATTAATGCTCAAAGTCCCAAAATAAATTTAAACAAAAAAAAAAAAAGCATCAAGATCAACTGGCTCAACATTTATTTGCATCTCAGGTACTTGTGTGTACCCTATGAGGAGTTCCACTGATTTCATCAGGGCTCTACAAAAATCATTTTCATGTCTGGAACCTTCATACGGAAAACACTGGCTGCAAAATACCTTCAGAAACACAGAGCTTGGGGGCAAAGCTCAGACTATGAACTATGTTCTTGCTCCCTTTGAGATCAATGGGAGTTCAGCCATTAAGTAGAACACAATTCCCAGGGGTCCAATCCAGAGTCAACACAGCTCCTTGAAATGAATCCTGCTGACCTCAGTGGGTGCATCTAGACAAGCATGCAAGTTTTCCCAAGAAATATCCCTGCACATGCGCTCTGGGACATGGCAAATTGCCCCAGGGAGGCTGGGGCCAGCATCTGGGCTGATCCAGCCAGCCTTACCTGGGGTCCTAGGAGCCTCTGGGGGCTGCAGCAGTGGCGATCCAAGCATGCAGAGCCTGGCCAGCAGTCAGAGTGTGACTCTGGCTGGCCAGGCTCTGGTTTTGAGTGGCACACCCTGCAGCCACATGCACCACCTGCTTTTTTTTTTTGAAACCGTTTTTTGGGTTTTTTTAAAAGATATTGGGATTTCCTGGTATCTAATTTTGGCTCCATGCTGAAAATATGCAGCGCAGAAAACCTTTTCATATGTGTCACGTGCATTTTGCAGCACCTCAAAAGCCTTTTAGGCACCACAAAGTGCATCGGTGCGCTTGTCTGGATGCACCCAGTGGGTTTCAGAGTCAGGTCTAAAGGCTGTGCCTGATACAGTGGATGGCATTTTCTCTATGGTCTAGGCATTAGATACTCTCTATGCAGACTGTAAGACAGAAGAAGATGAAAAAAAGACTGAAGTGTATCCTTACAACATTTCATTACAGTGACCCCAAAACCCCCTACTTTCTTTATTGGCTGGTTCTAAAGCATTAGCTCATTTTCACCAGGTAAATGTGAAATATTTCCCAAAGAAGGGAGAACGCCATGAAATACAACACACAACCAGGTGACATCTGAGTAATATATTCATCAGCTGATTTCATATGCAGGCAAAATTTCACCCAGAGTGGAAAAATCAATACATTTCTCACCCAGGTATTCATGGACCGCACTGGTAACAGCAGGCAGCCATGGTAATGGTGTTATCACATTAGCGCCCTTTTCTCATCAGGAGTTCACTACCTAGATGGCAGGAGGTTAAAAAGCTTTAAACAAATGGCCAAGTATATGGATAGATAAAACAATTCTTCACTGCTGGGCTTGAAACATATCTAACATTCAAGACGACAGCCTGACCTATGGAAGGAACTATTCGGTGCCCTTGAAAAGGTTCATTTGCTGAAGCACTGCTATTACTTATCTATAATGGACTCTGTTGAAACACTCACATTACTGGTACAGCTTCAGCTGGCTCGCTCTCTCTCCCTTTCTTCATTTGCTAGACATTGCAACCTCTCACATTATTACAAGGCTATACTACACTGCACACCGTCCCGCTGATGTTTTGTCTGCATAATTGAAAAAGGCAGCTGTTGATAGAAACACATTTGATCGGCACTGTTTTCTGACAAAGAGACTAAAATGGCTTGATTAACTCCTGAATTCCAAGTCCTCAGGACCCGTTTCCTGGGCTGTGTTTGAGGCTAAGGCAGCAAGGAGAAACGGAGCACGGAAGAACTCAATAGATGAAAACAAGCATGTTGCATCTGCCAATTAATTTGGTTTGAAATTGGAGAAACCATTAGCCTACAGGGACAATATGAAAAGGAAATGCCAGGTTCATAGTGTGTGAAGGTCTCCTGCTAGAACCACCTCCAGCTGAAAGCTTGATAGCCAAGACTATTTACAGTGGCTAGTGAATTGGAGGGTGTTTCAGTTTCCAGGTATCCAACTTGAGACAGCTACAGAGACCTCTAAGAAAATCCAAAGTGGCTCAAGAAGCATTTCTGGCAAGTCACTGGGTGACACTTTCCCCTCAATATAGCACTGAGCAAACATGCCAAAGGATGATCTCACCAGGTCTCTGCCTTGTCAGAAGCGTTGGGCTGGAGTTCTCATCTCAACTCATTCTTTGATGGAGTTATATTGGTTTAGGCCAGTTAAGGATCTGGCCTATTTTTGGAGGTGAACTGAAACTAGAATTTCTCAACTCCAAAGTTGATTTTACAACAGTAGGAAAGTTAGTCCTGATTAAATTTCAATATGCATAATCACAATACTCTTGCCTAAATATATGCTGTGGGTTTAATGATGTGCTTCAAGTCCTGTACCCAAATGTTTCACTGTGTTAGTACGAGGTTTTAATTGGTTGTTACATTCTCTCTCTCTCTCTCTCACACACACATTATAAAGCTGTACCAGTAAATGTGTTATTTTTATTTTTTACTCTATGCATCTTTGGCTTATATGAAGACGTTAGAGATGCTGGAGATTACATTAATAACAGGAAACCAACTTGGGGAAAATGGCATTTTTTCCAAGATTCTATATTTCCAGCCATAAAATATGTGGCACAAGGAACTTCCTGTAGATTAATGAATGGCTGGAGGGTTGATGGCCTGAAACTTTGCCCTTGGCCATTAACCTCTCAGGTCATTAATTCCTAAAGAAATACCCCATGCTGAGGTGCTTGCTACAATGATAATTTATATATTCTTTTAATTTATTGCTTCTCTGTGGGATAAAGCTGAATCTGGTCCCAGTTTGACTACACCTATTCTGAAACAATTTCTTGTCTGAGG